TATTTTAGTAATATCAATATTATGATGATCACGGGTTTTTTAACAGGACACTCTCCTCAATGAACACCACAGTAGAGATAAAGATAAGAAAAAACGGCGAATGCAGATTCTGTGGGAAAAATAGGGAAATACCAGAATACCTCATCCCTGAGTGCGCCGAAACGACGACCAATCGTGCCATAAATTTTGGTAGGTAAACCTGAAATCGGAGATGGAGAACTAACTTGTGTAAACCTCTGTAAATCATAAAGTAACCTCTGTAAACCGTCTCAGTTACTGTTTTCTGTTAATGCGCTGAGACTGTATGATGAATTATAACTCGAAAACAGGGGACACAATAGATCTGTAAAGTCCCGGTGATTAACTTCCCCCTCCCACACAATCTACAATCAATTGAGAACGACCGCTCACCTGTAGCTATAGTAACCGGTTACCAGTAGAATTAGGAATATACGTATAATTATGATTAAATTATGGAATGTAGATTATTTTCGTAAATGTATTCAAGAATAGCACTAGGTTTTTTCTGTGGTAAAATTTGGTTGAATCCTCCGAGTTGTTTATGTCTGTTAGGGCTTGATGTATTTTCTTACAATTGATTTTCGTCAACGTTTTCTTTTTTTTTTTGGTTATCCCGTATATTACATTGAAAATATATGTGTGTAGTTGTAGTAATTGGAACCGTTCTTCAATTGCCATTTTGGCACTATCCACAATTTTAAAATAGTAAACATTTACTTTCAATGACAATTCAGGTGAAAATCAGTTCATCAGGGATTCATCAGTTCCTTCATACTCAAAATTTCAAAATGGCTTTTTTTTCTTCTAATGCATTGGGTAGGTAAGCTGGGGAATTCTACTTGAATGCCAGCGTTTGTAGCTATCTAGCATTGTATATGTTATGCATATATTGCATGTCTGTCGATTCGTTTAAAAAAAATTGAAAATGTCCATCAGAACGTTTTGTCATGAAATAATTTTTAAATTATTAAGTGCATCTAGTGTCATCATTTTATGTCAAATTTTGAACTCTCAAGAATTTTGCTAACATTAATTTTACTTAAAATATCGTGTCATGTTACAGCATATAAATATAAACTCAAAAATTTTATTTTTTAGTGATTTTGCTAACGTTCCGGTGTTCAAATCCCATTTGGTATCATTTTTCAATAACAATTTCCTGGTATTTTTATCTCTGGACCAGTTAAAGTTTTTAATTTGCGTAGGAAAATGTTCAATTATTGTTGAAGTTCATTTGAAGTTCATCATTCATTGAAGTTCATTTGGATTAAATTTTGCAATTCATTTTCAAACCAAACCAAACAAATCCAATATAGGCTGGAACTTTCTACACTGCCGAAACCGCCGGATCACCTGGGTTGATTATGGTTTCAGCATCAGCACTGACACTATTGCTATCACTATCATTTGACCTTTCATTATTTCCGTCACTAGCTGCAACAGAAGTAATTTGCTCTGAAATAGATTAGGTTTTTTCTTCATCTCCTTCACAAAGAACTTTAGAAGAATTTTATTAACGAAAATAGAATCATTAATTTTTTTTTTTGATATTAAAAAAATCAGTGATGCCTGTTTTGGCCGCCCCTGTTTCAGGCCGCCCTTGTGCACCGCACACTTTGCACGCATGGTAGTATCGCACACGTGCATTTGCGGTAGCGGTGGCCCTGTAGAGCTGTATCCTCACTGGTAATTTTTTTCGTGCGTTTTCAATTAATCTTGCGTCAAAAATTTGGCTTGTTTCGTTCTGCGCGTCAGCACAATTTGTTTCCTTGTTCCATGGATTCAACATAAGATCACCAATAGTGAAGTATTACAGAAATCGAATACAACTCCAGAACTAGTCAAGATTGTGAATATGAAGGAAACATCAATATCTAGATCACATAATGATAAATCACGGGAAGTGCGAGCTATTGCAATGGATTTTAGATTTTGCAAAGAAAAAATAGAAGGAAAAATGCTCCAGAATACTTACATATACTACCTACATGTAAAATATTTCATTATACAGGGTGGTCCAAACTGTATTCTGGAAACTTCGGCACCATATTTTGCAGATAAAAATAAGTAAAAAAGTTTCTATAAATGTATATTCTAAAATACTTCACAGAGAGACACAGGCTATAGAACTTTTATTTTTATATCGATTTTTTCCAAATAATTTGTGAAGTAACGTCAATATTTGGATGAAAATTGGTGTCTGGGAGTTTTTTGACATGAGAAATTAGATTTTGATGTCAATATGACTTCGATTTTTAGGGAGCGCCACCTACTTGTGTTTTAACTCTGTTTTGAAGAGTAATAACTTTTTTTCCGTACCTGTATAAAAGTACTGAGTGAAAAAATATGTATTTCTGTAACTTTTTACATAAAAAAATCTCTCTTGGTAAATAACTCTACAAGCAACCGTTCTCAAGACAGTTAGAGTGGAAATAGTCAATAGATGTCATTATTGACCAAAAATAAACACGTTGAATGGATAATAAATTTGGGAAACTTTTATTTTTTAAATTACCAATAATTTTTTTCTGCAAAAAATGATGATAAAACAGTTTCTGTTGAACTTTTGGCACAAAAATATTTCAAATTTATGATTTCAGTCTAATAATTGTTTAGTCAACATAATTTAAATTTTTTATGTTTAATTTATGTCAATGATGAGGTACTGATAATTTCTATTCCAAATATCGCGAGAACCATTACTCGTAGCGATTTTTACCAAGAGACTTTTTTAAGTAGAAAACATCGTTAATATATATTTTTTTATTGAGCAGTTTTATACAGGTACGGACGAAAAGTTATTACCTACTCATCAAACCAGTTAAACAATATGAAGGTGACGCCCTCTACAAGTACGTGTCATATTGAAATCAAAATCAAATTTTTCATGTCAACAAACTCCCAGACACCAATTTTCATCCAAATATTGACGTTACTTCAGAAATTATTTGGAAAAAATCAAAATAAAAATGAAACTTCTACACCCTGTATCTCCTAAACTAAGCATTTTAGGACATACAATTATACGAACTTTTTTACTTATTTTTATCTGGAGAATATGCTGCCGAAGTTTCCGGAATACAGTTCGTTCACAACCAAACCACCCTGTATGTCCTTAAATAGAAATAGAACAGAAAAAAGTGACGGTAATATTCTGAGGTTACTCCTAAATTTGTTTTTGGATTAACAATATTTACTTTTGCATTGCATTACGGGTAGTTCCCCGTAATGTAAATTTCAAACACTAACAACAAATTCGCAAAAGGCAAAAAAATACGCAAAAAATCCCCCTGGGCTCCCGACAATGACACCCGCTCCCCTCTGGCCCAGTCCGACCCTGACACGCCATCAATAAAATATCACGAATACATATAGTCTATAAAATGAATAACTTTGAATTTTGACCGTTATTTTTTACAAACATGGCAAATATAAAATCCCTCTATCAAAAAAGTTACTGATATTCTTTAAATTGAGTGCTTAAACGAATCAGATAGGTAACTCTTTTTACTTTCGTGAAATAGAAAAGGAAAATAATAAAACAAGTGACAGTTCTTCCTCTTCTTGCAAAAATCAACACAAAAAGTCATAATTGTCAAAAGTAAAATGTCATCAGCTTTTGACATTTCTAAATATCAGACCAATTCCGTCTCTAATAGAACAGCCACGCAGCCAGATTTATGACGTCACGCTAGTTAGATACTACGGATTAATAAATATGTTGTAGAATACATGGAAAACATAATTATTCCTCGTATTTTTGGTTTGTATTTTAAAAATGATATAGTTTACATGAAATATACATAATATACAGTTAATAAATACAATATATATATATATATACCTATTTATAGTAATAAATACTTTTTTTTTTTTTTTTTTTTTGTTCTTGCTCTTCTTTGACCTGTAGATTATATATTTTTTAGTTTTCACTCTTGGCTTTAGGTCACAAGTTGCAAAGATGTTTCTAGATTTTGTCTATTATTTTTTTATTTTGTGACGACGTTTCGACAGTTAGGTCGTTGGGGTTGCAAAGATTCCAGTAGACATCGGGTATTGAACCGATAAATGTGTTTTATACAGAGCGATCTGCAAGGAAATACGTACGTGCTCGTAGTAAAGTGTAATGTCCAAAAACAATTAAAAACAATAGTTAATATGTGTTATTGTGTTGTTCAGTTTAACAAATTTTAACTCTGTAAGAATCTACGTTCAAGAGGCTTGAAAAAAACATATACTGTCGAAACGTCGTCACAAAATAAAAAAATAATGAACAAAATCTAGAAACATCTTTGCAACCCCAACGACCTAAAGCCAAGAGTGAAAACACAAAAAAAAAAAAAAAGTAATAAATACTTTGGTAAATAAACTATGAACCATACAAATGCAGCAATATAAGTTTTCGAACATTGATACTTGCAAAATATACAAATAAATTTAGTGAATGCAACTAATAATACATCACTATTAGTAGATATTGAATGTTTTTTTGTTAAATTAGATCGATTTTCAAAACCCCAAAATTTAAAATATATTTTACATTTTACCCATTATATTATGTACCTATTCATTATTTGTATATTGTAAAACATTTGCCGCATTTGTATGGCTCATAGTTTATTTGCCAAAGTATTTATTACTATAATTAGGTATATATATTGTATTTATTAACTGTATATTATTATGTATATTTCATGTAAACTATATCATTTTTAAAATACAAACCAAAAATATGAGGAATAATTATGTTTTCCATGTATTCTACAACATATTTATTAATCCGTAGTATCTAACTAGCGTGACGTCATAAATCTCGCTCCAAAGCTGTTCTATTAGAGACGGCATTGCGTCAGCATGGCCGCAAGTTGCTAACCTAATAAAATTAACACTAGAAAAGCCCGCGGGAACTGTCAAATTCAAAGTTATTCGTTTCACGGACTATACATAACATTTACTTTTTCAATATTGTATTGTTTTAGCTAAGCCTGCTTCAAAAGGAAAACCCGAAAAACTGGAAACATTTAATGAGCCAAATTCTACGGAACAAAGTTTAAACAACAACGTTGGCCAATTTCCTGCAGCGAAACCTGACAGTACAAGTCTTCAACCAGGTGAAAGATTTTTCATCCTTAACGGTGACAACATTTTTGCCTATCCCATACAGGCGGAAAGTCTAGGATTCCCAGGTTTGAAGTATACAAGTGTAGAGCCATTCCCTAAGAATCCTCCAAAATTTGTATTACAAAAATCAAATTTATCTCCGGTAAGAAATATTTACTAAAATATATACAGGGTGGCGCACCTCATTCGCCTCGGTTGATTATACGAAAACGGAAAGATGTAGAAACAAAAAAAAAGTTTTTGCACATTGTGCATGGGTATCTGTGGGGAGGCAATGTGCATAATTTAAAATTATTTTGAAATATACAGGGTGTTTCAGAATTAAGATTCATACCAAAGTTATATATTTTTTCTTACTGGATACCCGTTTTTTTAATTTCATTTTTGAATTCTTGGGCCCAAAAAAAGGCATTTATTATAAGGGTTAGATATATTTAAAATCTTTGCTTTTTGAGATATTTAAAGATATTTAAATATACATGCTACAATAGAATAGATTATTAACACCCTGTACATTACTTTTCAAAATTAATTCTTGTGCTGAGTTTAAAGGTAGAAAAATAAACTTTACCGAATAATGTTATTGCCTCCTTAAATTTATACAGGGGTAGCAAAAATTGCTGATCTATTTTAAGGATTTATTTTATATAAAACTTGGTTATTTCAAATGCAACACCCCATATTTTTTTAAAATAAATCGAAGCAGATTCTAATGCTCTTTCAAACTGTATTAGGGTTTCCTATACCTATCTAGCTCAGATTTTGAATAAAAAGCGATTTTTCAATAATATGGAAATTAAGATAGCTGGTGTCGGTGTCCATGGCAATTTTCTACTAACAGTTAGTAACTATTTTCAAAATCGACATTAGTTTATGGACATTATTATTTAGATTTTTAACAGTTACTTAAATTTACCTACAATAGTTTAATAAGTATAAGTATTCATTATTTTAACAAAAAACAAGCAGTATCTGCTAGCGTAACGAATGAATATGTTACTAGTGATTTTATTTTGGAAAATTGCTTCTTGGTCTCAAGGTCTTATGCTTAAAGATATCCAAATAGGAATCTTCCTGATAAGCGTTCATCTGAAAAACTACTTGTCCTATTTCGCAGAGCTGGTAGTGTGGTTTATGAAAAAGTTCACAGTCCTTTACAAAGATGCAACCGGGGGGGGGGGGGCATTGAAAATGATGAATAAAAACGTAAAAATATGATTAGTGTTAATATGAGTGTATTACATACATATGTTTAAATAACGAACTTAACAAAAAACAACATATTTAAAGATTCACTGAAAAAGTAGTAATGTTAACATTAAATATAACATTATCAATAATAATTATGCGATCGCACCTATCCTAAAACAAGCAAGCAAAAAAACCTCGAAAAAAACAAAATAACATGCAATACATCAGGTTAACATGATGACAGATCATGATCAATGACAGATAAAGAATTCTTACGGAAAGTTACACTTTACGATATAACTTTTTACCTGTTAAAGGCAAACCCCATTTAAACACAAAACTTTTTAATACCTACTACTGTATCTAAAAGACTTTTTTTTAAATTACTAAATTCTTAGCCACGCTTCTGTTTTTCTTGGCTGTTGTGCGTCACGTTACAGATTAACAGGTCCACGTTTGCACCACAAGGCGATGCTGCAGACCACTAGGTAGACCGGTCGTAGAAATTTATGTTATACAACTTGTAGTCAATCTGCACAAATATTATCAATTTTTTTTTTCTTTTAAAATGTGTTCAGATTTTGTAAAAAGTATAAGTCAAAATCGCAAAACTTAAATTTGATATGAGTTTCTTAGTTTTTAACTAATATAGTGGCGAATTACAAAAATTCCTTTTCAGTGAAAATTAATGAGTTAAATAAAATAATTTAATAAATTACTAGCTTTTCTCTCGCGCTACGTTCGCGTTACACCTCGAATCGTTTATGCATTGATTTAAATGATTTTTACTTCTTTATAGAGAGCTAGTGAGCATATAGATGTTTTTTATTTTTCATCTTTTTTATTTATTAAGAGCACTAATATTCTCTTTATAGGTTATTTTTTATTCTTTGAAGGATAATTGACGAAGATATATTTCGTTATGATGTCACTAAATAAACCTTGTATAAAATTTTATACTGTCTGGTTTATAATGTTATAGTATTGCATTTTCGTACAGCAAACTTTCATTCCCTATTCTACTCCCTAAGGGTATAAATTTCATAAATTCGCTTTTTACCTTTGTGCCAAATTTTATGTGTATAATCCAGAGGTCACCAAGTTTTATATAAATTTTACTAACTTTACCCATTTGTTTGATGAATTTCAAAAATTTCTTTCTAATTCTTTTTGTAGGATTTCATTCTTCTAGACCAAATAGTAAGGAATTTTCATACAACAAACTGTTCCGAGATAATTTTACTCTAAGAGGATGAATTCCCTAAATCGGTTTGTGTAGCTAATTCACTAATGTCGTTTAAACGAACCTTTGTGCTAATATTTATGTATCTAAAGCTGGCGGCATGAACTCACTCTAAAATATCTAAAAACGTAATATATAATCTAACTGACACACCACTGACAATGACAAATAATTTATTTCTGGAGGTATTGTGTGTAGGTGTTTTTCAGGTATGTTTTAGTATTTAGTCGTTTTACACAAAGAAATAGCGATTAAGCACTATAAAAATACTTCATAACAAATCTACACATATATACCTTTCATTTAAAAAAAGAATCAACAAGATTGGTATAGCGGTTTCGGCGGGTTGGATGCAACAAAAAAACCCTTTGAGCTTTTATGTATGGATTTTATGTATGGATTAATTATTTTTCCAACATATTTTACTTTGCAAATTTTTATAAATATTCAGACTCGCCAATATCGTACTCCACCGTGTCCAGCCTGTTTAGCCAAACGTAGGCCGATTCCTCTTCGGCGGCGTCGTGAAAATTAAGTATAACATTTTAGGAAAAAGAAACGCTGTAATATTTAAAAGAATAAGAAGAAATTAGTCTTATTTTGAAAGGAAAATATAGAAAAAAATCTTTCTATAGAAAAAGTCTTTATACTAACCAGAATCCGGTGACATATACGCGGTCTCACCGGAAACATTACTTATTACTTCACATAACTTGAACAATATCTACTTTTAATAATGAACACTTCAGAAATATACCAGTAAAAACATTTATTATTTGAGATTAAAATTAAATTAATTATTATTATTTGAGATTAAAAATAAATTTAAAAAAAATTAAATTATAAATATTAGTTACCTATGTTGTTATAGCTTTTATAGGCCTGTTTAACGACTTAATAAGTTACCTAGCGAAAAAATCTGTGCGCGTACCTACCACTATTGTTACAGATTAATTCGTTAAAGAAATATGTTACACAAGTTAAAAAACGCTAAAATTTTAATGGTATTACTTGTGCATTATTGGCCTTATAATGTAATTTGTTGGAATTATATCTTCTTTAAATATAATTAGAATTTTTAACGACTTTTAAGTTACCTAGGAAAAAATCTGTGCACGTACCTACCAGTATTGTTACAGGTTAATTCGTGAAACAAATGTGTTACATATTATTCGTGGTATTAGTGGTATTATATTGGAATCAGCTTGGCATTAGTGGGGGCATTATATGAGAAATTTTGGTATTTAATTTGTATTTTTGGCATTACTTTGGCATTAGTATACAGACATTTGTCAGCGGTTTACTCCTTGTAGATAATCAAAAAGTTTTTTGATAAAATTTGCTTTTTATGTCAGATCATTTCTATGAAAAATTACATTAGATTTTTATTAAAGACGCTGGGTAATTAAAACATTGACTAATAAACCTTGTCCACTTTAAATACGGGGTCACGAAATATCCTCCTTGGAGTGTTTGGGTTAAGGGGTGTATAATAAATTAATCGTTGTTTTATAATAAAAACCATAAAACATTTATTTGTGAGTAAAATAATGCAATGGTTGGATATCTCTCCTTTATAATTCGGTGACTAAAAATACACTAAAATAATTAGAAAAAAAATCTTGTACTTATTTAGTAATTACGTCAATATTAATTAATTGACTTTCTAGTCTATTTTATTTTATGTACAAATATATTATTAAATTTTAAGCATTAAGTAATAAAACACTTTGTGCCCTCTTATATCGTAAAAGGTTACGAAATATACTCCTGGTTACACCCCTTACAGAAAACAGTGTAAGGGGTGTAAATAAATTGTATAATCACTGTTTTTTATAATAAAAACTATAAAATATTTCTTATTTGTGAGATTAAAAAAACAAAACAATGCATTGGTTAAAATAAGTACATTCAATACTGTTTTCAATTGTTAATTCAATAATGTGTTATAACATAATATAGCCATTACTATTATACTATTATTATTAAAATAATATGTGTGTAACATATTTCTTTAACGAATTAACCTGTAACAGACATTTATATGCCCAGTATATTTTTGTTTAACAAACCAATCAGGAAAAATCCAAAACCTACCGTTATAGGAGGTATAAGACGATTAAACTTATATAATGACAACTACTTATCGGATAACAAATTAATTACTACTGTCAGCTAGTTCAGCTACTGTCTAGGTAGAATTTACCTAGAGTACCTACACCTACCTATGATGATGTAGGTAGATTAAAGCTTATTTTGACGTTACCTCTCACTTCGGTGTCACAAGCTGAATTTTTCAGGGATGGAAGTACAGTACATCACAGTACATGATATGGGGACCCTTATTCCGAAAGTAGTACAAAATTAAACAGGGTAAAAAGGCACTATCATCAAAAATCGATATATTAATACCACCGTATAGAGAAAACAAATACTTATTTTTTGATCCAGTACAGAATAAAGTCTTCGTAGGGAGTAATTTTTTATAATTATTTACAAAAAAACATTTCCATTAGCGCTTATGACCAAAAAAAAACTTTAAACATGAATAATCATTTCAATCATGCGAAAATTTGGTTTAAAAATAGAGATTTTTTTTTAATATAACTTTCATTTAACGAAAAACGAAGGCCTAAATGAAAAAAAGAAACAATTTAAAAGTTTCGCTCATGTCTTGACAAGGTATCAAAGCAAACCCCATATTTTTTGCTTTTAAACTAATAAGATATATCAATAAACAATTAGCGATGTAATGGTTTTTGCGCGCGCTGGCCGACTGCCGCCGCTGCGCCGAGATTTCCTATACCCTTGTATATATGACGTCATGGTGTGGCAAATGTAGCATTTTAATTCGATTTGGGCTCCCTTATATAGGATAACAGAAACATTTTCAATGTTAAAACTATTAGGCAGAAACCTGTCGTTTAAAGTGAAGGAAATGAATTTGCCGTAATTGGCTTTTTTTTAGGAAATCCCTATATCTATAAGTCATCGTAAAATAAATCAAAGAACTACTTCGTCGTTTTTCTTCATAGAATAATAAATACATATTTAATAAATATTATTTATTAATCTATTTTAGATGAATTAAATAAAAGTAAACTGGTATAAATTTAAATAAAGTCCATAAACTAATTTTGGTTTGTAGCTACTGTCACTAAAAACTTGCCCTTACGACACTAGATCTCTTGGTTGCCATTTAATGAAAAATTGCTCTTTATTCAAAATCTCAGCTAGATAGCATTTAAATCTGTTTAGATTTATTTTAAAAAATACAGGGTTTTGTCTATTTGAAATAACGAAGTTTTTATCTAAAATAAATATTTAAAATAGACCAACCATTTTTGATACCCCTGTATATATGAAACAAAGCAATCAAATTTTTCAGTAAAGTTTATTTCTTTGGATTAATAGCCAGCCTAAGAATTAATTCTGAAAAGCAATGTACAGGGTTTTAATATTTTTTTTATTATAGCATGCATATTTAAATATCTTTAAATATCTCAAAAACCAAAGCTTGTAAACATATTTAACCCTTAGAATAAATGCGTTATTTTGTGTTCAAGGATCCAAAAATGAAATAAACTACCGGGTGTTCCATAAGAAAAAATATAACTTTGCTGTGGATCTTGGTTCTGACATACCCGCTTTAGATTTCAAAATAATTTTAAATTATGCACATTGTCTTCCCACATATACCCATAAAATATTTTGTTTCTACCTCTCTCCGTTTCCGTATAAACCGAGGCGAATGAGGTGGGCTACCCTGTATATTATTCATCAAAACATAGACAAGAAATTCGTTCTTTTTAAATGTGTTTAAAGACTAAATACTGTATGATCGAAAAAAAATCGGCGTTAAATACGGCTGGGAATGCCAATCGATAATTTTGGCGAAGTCAATCTCTAGACATCATTTACTAAAGTTGACATAAAACTTGTCATAAATTAACACTAATGATATTGAAAGAATAAAAAAGGATCGAATGTTTCCAGACATACAAATCTATTTCCAATTTTTATTTTCGAATTTCAAAATACACCATTTAAAAGTCATTTTTACTCAATATAAAATTAAATTACAATCTTCTTAAGGCCAGCTGGCAGTAACCGCCATTAAAAAATAAAGACGAATATGGGCCAAGTAATGACATCTGACTTGACCTCGCCAAAATTATCATCGATGACAATTCCCCGGAATGTGACAATTCCCAGCTGTTTTTGACGCCGTTTTGTTTACGATCGTATGGTATTATTTTCGTTAAGTATTTTTTTTTCTATATTCCAAACTTAGTTGCTGAAATTTAAACTTTAACCACTGAAGAGTTTAATTGAATTTTAATTCTGGTAATGCTAGCCTGATGACTTTAGATGAAAGAATGAAAAAAGTTAAAAAATGAGAGTTGCCATTTTTTAGGCACATAGTTGTTATTTTTCGAGTAGACAACATGGATAATTCAGCCTATAAATTTGTTATGGGTGGTGTTCAATATCTTAAATTTTATTTCAAATACTGTTTAAAACTTAGTAAACTTACAGCCTAGCCTCAAAAAGTGTCATTTTTACTCATAATAAAACAATATACTATTATTTAAAAATTTTCTATGTAGAAAGTGCCTCAAGTAAAATATATTAAAAAAATGTAAGACTTGCAAGAGTTTTGCAGCAAGACCAAGACTATCAGGTGAATCTTATTCTTGGTCTTGTATTTGCTCATCACTAGTCTTAATCCCAATTCTTAATCTTAGTATTTTTCTCGCAGAAATGTATACTTACAAGGATCTATTTTTCAGATATCTCTACCTAATCTCATACTTCAGAATTCTGTTGAAAATTCGCAATCACCACCATCGGAAGAAAGCAAAGTTGAGGAAAACAGAAAAATTCTTAGGAATGCTCAATCCTACGCTAGAACGCTATTTCCGGAGAATGTAATAAATTCGGATTACCGATTATTGAATCAAGACACAAACCAAAATTCAGAATTCGTTCCTCCCCAACTAGTGGGTCAGTTTAGATTTGTTCCTAATGCAATTCCCAATTTCTATCCCTACAGAGATGATATTCAAGATGACGCAGTTGTTATAGATGCTAATGTTGATGCGTCTAATATAGATGGACGACTGGAAAATACACAGAAAGTTGAAGTAGAAACAAGTAAGTTTTAATAGAGCAATTTTGAAATTCATTTAAAATTGAAGGGTCCAGGGGTATAACTTGATACCACTTTCAGGACAATTTTAGGATTTTACAATAACAATATTATAGTAGGTCTAAGTGGTCTTTACAAAATGTATAAACTCTGCAGGGAAATAAGTTGTTAAATTCTATGATATATGCCTAGTAAAAATATAGAATACACGGAAAGAACCTGATAACCACTAGCCGTCTAGGGCTCTTCTGTAAAATCTTTCAGGCTTCATCAGGAGATGGAAGCTTAGAGTAAAACTTGAATTACCATACCTACACTAGCTTTTTCCCGCGACTTCGTTCGCGTTACACCTCGAATCGTTCATGCATTGATTTAAAAATTATTGTTTACCTCTTTACGGACATAGCTAGTGAACCTTATAAAAATGCACTATTTAAACTATGATTTTTATCAATTTTAGAGCTACTCGTATTTAATATGAAAGTTTGCAATTGTCGATTTTCTGGTTATTATACAGGGCGAGTCTTGAATGAGTGCAAATATTTTCAGGGCAGGTAGGTCTCGATAAAAAAACATATTTTCTTTTTACCATTTTTCAAATATGTTGTTCACGCATCTCATTATTCTTTTTTTTTTGTTTTCTTTAATTGGGTTTGGGTTTACAATATTTAATCATTTGTACAATATGAGTGATGTGCAAAAATAAGTAGTTTAATTTTTTGTTTATTTTTCTTTACATTATTCGATTATTAATTGTTTGGTTGAGAATGATCACATAAATCATTAAATTAAATTCAATTTCGTTTCAAAATTCAAACTCAGATGATTTCTCTATTGCCCAGTGCGCGCGATCATAGTGCGCGTACTACCAGAAGACATTCGCAATTCGGCCGGTGTGTAGAGAACAAGTCGCAAACACTAGTGCAGAGATCCGACACTGTTTCTATTTTTCTGGTACTATTTTTTCGCAACAACGTTACGTGCATCCGAAGAGTGTGGGCAAAAAAAGGGTAAGTCATTTGAGTGCCATGGTATATTTATTTCTCAATATTTTCTTTTTTTCAATTCTCTTTTCGTTCAATTTCGCAACATATGTAGCTCCAAAATAACCGAGTTATATTACTTTAAAAATTTCTTTCTTTGCTTAAATTTTGAGAACTACTAGATCTTTTCGGGTTTTTCTGTCTAGTAAATTTTATCTACTACCTATGTTGGGGTATTATCAAGAAATAAATAAATAAATAAATGCCTTTATTGTCAAAAAATTTTTCAATCTGTAGACAAAGGTAAACTAACAAACAAAGTAAAAAAACAATGTACACAAACAAACAAACAAAAGATGATACAAAACATTATACAAATAATATTGTCAGTCTTATTGTTTAAAATAAACATTTATAAATGTTTACAATGTCAAAGAACAAAAAAATAAAAATAATATTCAAAAATATCTGGTCAGTTTATAGTAAAATATCAATGACCTCTAAATAAATTTATTTCGATGTCATTAGTAAATATAGCAATAGCAAACACTAGACCAATGTTTAAAATATAATTCATTTACGGCGTAGAAAGCCTTGTCTAGTAAATAAGAGTTCAATGCTTTGCGAAATGAAAAAATTGATGTTAAGGATTTGATTTCAAATGGCAGGTGATTGTGCATTTTTTTCGAGTTGTATAATATTGAACTTTTAACTAACTCTGAGCGTGGGGTAGGTAGATAAAGATCTTGCTCCGCGTTCCTGAGTGGATAAGTATAAGTGTGACATGGCCTTTCTTTAGAAGCTGATACATGTCTACGTATTAGGCAAACGGATTCAAATATAAATAAGGAAGGAAGAGTCAATATTTTTAATTCTTTAAAAAAGTCCCGGCACTGAGTTCTGCTGTTCAGTCCCAGTGAATATCGAACAGCTCTCTTCTGGAGCTTGAAAATGCGGTCAAATTGAGTCGCACAACACGTACCCCGGAATGGAAGGGCATACCTGAGGTGCGACTCAAAAAGTGCATAATAAACAGTTCTAGCCACTAACAAGTTAAGCTCCTTAGAACAGACCTTAATGCAAAACAGGCAGACCTCAATTTTTCGACAAAGCTTCGATATGTATGTCCCATTTCAGAGAATTGTCCACAACAAGCCCTAAGAATTTTACAGATTTTACGACGTCAATGGTGGTGTTGTTAAGTACAAAAGGCTGCAACGAGTTTTTATACGACAAAGCTTTAGTTTTAGAAATGTTGAGACTCAGGAGGTTCGAATCGCACCAAGATTTAATGGTGATTAAGTCATTTGATATAATCCTATGAAGTGCCGTGATGTCCTAGTTGCTCCAAGTGAAGCTAGTGTCGTCCGCAAAAAGACATATTTTGCCATTGATGTTTATGTTAGCAATGTCGTTAATAAAAAAGAAGAAACAAAATAGGGCCTAGTACTGAGCCTTGTGGTACTCCACATCCTATTGGCTTGCTAGAAGACAACGTGGTATTCACCCTCACAAGTTGACTTCTGTTGCTCAGATACGACTTAAACCATTCGAGAGATGATCCCCTGAACCCATAGTGCTGCAGTTTATTAATTAGGATCTTATGATTTACACAATCGAACGCCTTAGAAAAATCACAGAAAATTGTTGCTGTAGAATGATGGTTGTTTAGGCTGGAGTAAACTTTATTAAGGAGGGAAAACATAGCGTCATTTGTTGCTCAGAAATTCAAATTGATATTCAGTAAGTATTTTGTACTTGCACAGAAAAGATACCAGCCTTCTTTTAACCAACCTTTCTATGATCTTAGATAGCGTTGGATCCTTCCAAGTTACGAGCACTCCTGTGCAATTGGGCGATAGTTAGAAGCTTCATCTTTGTCTCCTCCTTTATGCAGAGGAATGATTATTGCCGTCTTAAGACATTTTGGAAAAATACCATTTTGGAACGACATGTTTATTAAAGTTGTTAGGTGATTCAGAGTGCTTTCTGGCAGATTTGAAACCATTTTTAAAGTTAGCCCGTCGGTCCCAGAAGAGGATTTATTTTTGATGGTATTAATTGTACTGCGAAGCTCTTCTAAAACTACGGGCGAAGAAAAGAAACTGTGTAAGTTTACATTATCATTAGAGAGATAAGAAGTGGATCGTGAGAAGGACATATGGTATTAGTTAAGTTTTTCGCTACATTTACAAAGTAATCGTTAAGGTTCTCAGGTGAGGTAGAGATATTGCTAGACGAAGAAGCTTTGTTTCTCAATTCATTCACAATAGACCATGTTTCTTTAGCAGCATTACCAGAATTTACTATTCTCCTATTATAATAAAGGTCCTTAGCGGCCTTGTGATAAATTTTTCTGTATAGTTTTACGTAATTGTGGAAGAAGACACTGTCTGAGAATTTTTTTAAGCGAGATAATGAACGCATGTTTTTAGAAGATATGCGTAGACCTTTAGTGGTCCAAGGTTTCTTATGCTTATTTTTGATAGGCCTAAGAGGAAAGGATTTGAACGCTAGATTGGTTAATATTTTTACGAAAATAGAAAATTCAGTGTCGACATCACAAGAGCTAGTATCCCAGTTGGTTGTTTTACATAAGTGGCTGAACTTTTGAGCATTATTTTCTGAAAAAATACGGCATAATTTACGAGGGGCATTTTTGATTTTGGTCTTTATCGAAAATTCAGTTAAAACTGATTCATGATCAGAGAGACCCGAGCTAATGAGCGATGGAGTTAGGATCAAAAGATGACACAGCAAAAAAGTATGGTTTTTAACTAAAAATTAAAAAAAATCCAAAAAATTTTTCAAAAAAATTCCAATTTTTCAAAAAAAAAATTCGCGAAAAAAATCGTTTTCCTGGGGTGATAATCATGTTTCTGGGGGTCAAAATATACTACCGCTGAAAATATTTGCACTTATTTGAGACTCGCCCTGTATATCCTTTAAAAATATCGATTTTGTTATTTTTCACTTATTACACATTTTTTACTTAAAATTTATAAAGAGCTGTCAATAGGCCAATTTCAAGAGCATTTTTATTTTCTTTAAATATTATTATGTATTTAAAAAACCGTTTTTTATTTTTTCATCCCCTATATATGACGTTATGACACATTTTGTATACCAAAAATAAAACTTTTAGTTAGACCCGTCTAAAATAAATAATCTAAATAATTCTAGAAGTTATTTTTCGGCAATTTTATGAACATTTGAAATTGTCACAACACAATGCGACTCCCAGTTCGAGTTATTTTTTACTTATTTTTACTCCCCGAAAGAGCATTGCATCACAGAAACTTTGTACCTGAGAAGTTTATAGTTTCAATAACTGTACTGGTATAAATCAAAATATGTAATGTACTGGCACGGCATATAAATCACACGGCAGGCCAACTCGCTTTGGCGGGAACGCTACGCGCATACCCTTGCGCACGCCGCCATTATGGGTGCCAGCGACAGAAATTAACCAGTGTCGTAGTCAGTCGTAGTCTTTGTCATCGACAACGTACAGTTACGGCAGCTTTGAGTCAGTAGCGTGCGGCTTAATTTATTTTATTCTTTTCTTGAGTGATATATTTTGTTTTTTTTTAGTTTTATTTTTGGTTATTGTGTGATATATTTGGTTTTTGTAGTTTAGTAGTACAATGGAAGTCCGAAATTCTTTTAGTTTTAATACTCAGTCATTGTTTACGGTATTTAAAGTAATTTTTATTATTAGGTATCCTGCAAAATGACAAACAAGATTAATTTCTAAATTACTGTTTTTCTGATTATCCGTATCTATTTTTAATTTTTATGGATAGCTCATGACAATTCAGAGAGAAAAGAAAAGAGGTCTCGTTTTTTTTATAAGGTCTGCCATTTTTAATTAGATGTTTGCCAGATCATTTTGGCAATTTTCAGTACCCGTATGTAATATTCGGACACAAAGTTTTTAAATGTTCTTCTAAACTGGGTGAATTTATCCTGGATGGGAATAATGACAGGTTTACAAGATATTGGAATTAGAAGAATTACAAGATAAAGTTGTACCAGATTTTTATGAGTGCAACTGTACACTCAAATCGCTTGTCGCTAAGGTTTTATATAATATAAAATTGTGTAATGACATAATAAAAGTTTTAAAGAAAAAGTTTATTTTTTCTTTTTAATGTATTTAGATAAAAGCTTGTTTTTAAAACGTTTTTTTTCTTAAATTTATTTTTTACTTTTTAAGTTATGCTGGTTTCTCAGTGCCATACACTTAAACTCAATTCTTTTTCTTAAATAACTATACCTATGGGCATCCTAATAATATGTGTATCGATTTTCATAAAAAAAGAGAACTTAAAAAAACGACAGCTGTTAAATTTGACAGTTCAAATGTGAGACAAATAAAATGAAAACCGACTATGGGGTAGGGAGCATCCAATATGTCGATTTTTATCAAAATCAAAAGATTTTTTTGACAGCTGTCAAATTTGACAGCTCAATTTTTTTTCTTTCCTTTTAACCCATGGCCATCCTATATATAGATTTTTATCAAAATCGGACAACATTGAAATTTTTTTGACAGCTGTTAAATTTGACAGCTCAATTTTTTTACTTTCATTTTAGCCCATGGCTATCGCCTATATATCGATTTTTATCAAAATCGGACAACTTTGAAATATTTTTGACAGCTGTCAAATTTGACGGCTCAATTTTTTTTTGACGGCTTGGCTTTTAAAAATATAGCCAAACATTTATATTTAAATTCATCAGTTACTTTTCTTCCTTTAGCTGATTTGTTAATTTGTGCAATTTGAATATTAACAAAATTTGCTATGTCCATTGATGGGCATAATTTATACATAGCCACTTTAGATTGTTCAATAGATAATTTATTGGGTATTTCTTTAATTCTTGTTTGTAACTCCTGGCTAGGGTTCGGAAGTAGTTAATTATGACGTAATTTACTTGATTAACTACGTGTAGTTTTTCTTCAAGAACTACGTCTTTTCCTGTTCATTAACTACATGAAAACTACGTTAATAAACTATGTATCGAAATTATGAATAATTTCCCTTTGTATGAGGTGTAATAGAGATAATATGATGTAAATATTATATTTAAAGTCATATTTCTTCTGTTTTCTTAAATACATTATGTGTTTTTAAAGCTTCAACTTATTATAACCTCACCTCAAACCTTTGATATTTGAAAGTTACATACATAGGTTACATAAACTACATCTCTCTACATAAACTACATTAACTACATGTAATGTAGTTTATGTAGTTTTTAAAAAGTAACATGTAGTTTTCAGAACCCTGCTCCTGGCATGTTTTTTAATTTTAATTGTCTATTCTCTAAAGTTAAATGTTTAATTGATTTTTTCATTTTACTTTTGAGGAGTATGCGCGGTTAACAATTCATTTGTTTAGATAAAAGTATTGTGTAAATAAAATTCAGTTTCAGTCAATTACAGTATTTTTTTAATACGACCCTGTCTAGCAATAGTTTATTTTCTGGGAAATTTTTTGATACGTTTTAATCCGGTCCTGACTCGGCACCCATAATGGTGTTTTCAAGGTCAAATTTTATAGAAATTTTAAACAATGGGATCTGGGCAGAGTTAGCCTGCCGTGTGATTTATATGCCGTGGTACTGGTATAAATCCGGCGCCGGCGCGGCGTGAAATAAACTTAGTCGAGCAGTTCTTGTTTCCACCCTACCGAGCGCTGCTGTAGGAATTTTAAAAGAACGGCAACGGTTGAAATGTACCAAGCTTATAAACCTCCAGAATTTTACCTGTCCCACTTTGAGAAACGCTGATCCAGATTATACAAAATAATATATCTGTTCAGCTTGCATTTCTCATTTGTGAAGTAACTTTTTGTTTTTAATATTTATATCCGGTTCGGGTAAACCTTAGCATAAAAATAAAGTATCTCCAGAAAATGTATGTGTAATATTTGAATTTATTTTAATCCATCATACATTAAAATTAAACGTTTTTTTAGCTACTACAAGTCAACCGACGACAACGGAAAAACAATCAGATCCAGGAACGGCCCAAGCTGGTCCTCAAGCTACAGCTATAGCAGGGCCAGGTGGTACTGCAGGGTCTTCTCCTAGAGGTACTGCAATTGTAGGTAAAGGAGGGCTAGCCATTTCGAGTCCTGTTGCTACAGCTGTAGCTGGAACAAAAGAAGATGAGAAAAAGAAGAATGCAACAACAAAGAAGCCTTAAAGATTTATGATGTAAAATTTAGACTATATTTTTTAATACGTACCTTAAACCAAGGCTACTTTCAGCTGATTACTGATTTTTCGAAATATATTTCGCATGAAAAATGTGCACGACTAGCGTATATAAATATTCTTAGATTGGTGTATGGGAATTACTACTTCCTGGAAGACCATTAGATTAGAAATATGTAATGTAATTTTCGGTATGTTTAAAAACTTGATGTATATCAAAGTTTTTCGAAATATTTTTAACTTTGAATCGAATTAATGGTTAAATATTACATCGACCATTTATTAATGGTTAATGTAATCTAAAGTAAATAATATAAGTTACAAAGTTTTAATCATTTATCATTTATCTCACATATTTTGCAAGTAACTGATCAGTTATCTTTGTCAGCAACAGATCAACCAACTTATATTAAATATCTCAACTATGTCAACAAAAGTAAACTTTTCTATAGAAAATAAAGTGTGTTACATAGGGGCACTCTTACTCTTATTTATTTGTTCCTTCGCATACTTTTTAAGTTAGTTTGTTCTAACTGTTTACAACCTACCCCAACTAAAACAATAATAATACAAACACCTGAAACTTGTACAATATATGGCAGAACAACAATTTTACAAGTCCTAGTTTACGGTACGTATTAAAAAAAAATTGAGGCAAAGAAATGCAAATATAATTATTATAAGGACATCTGTTTATTAAGCTCTGTAGAACATGAACTTGTGTATGTTATAGTGAACCGCCGAATTTACTCAATGTTGAATTAGGTTCTTACAAAAACATATCCCCAGTGATTATAAACAAATAAAAAATAAACTGATAAAATATTGCTTTATTAATGTTTATTAGAAAGGATGAAGAATTAATTGGTGGAAGCACAAGTGTAAAGATACGCACAAAGAAAGCAAGTTTTATATCAATCGCAATTACACGAAGGTTTTTTTCAGTATATGAGGATGAAACTGAGATATTCAACCATATCTTGGAAACAAAAATAATGCGATTAACGAAAACTGCGTTTCTTTAGAAAATGATTGAGATTAAAATTCGATATCAATAATCAATGCAAAGGAATGCACGTTCGACACCAAGCGACCAAGTATTAAAAATTCATTCGGGTAAAAGGTCGGCGATGGTTTGGTTGGCAACAAGCACCGACCAGTTTTGTCTGTGTTATTTAATTGTTGCTGCTGATAAGCGTTTATTAGGGGAGAGCCACCAACAGTGGCCATGGCTGCTACAGTGGCCACCAGTGAATATTCTTTTGTAAAACGTACACTGGCCAGCGCCCTCTCTTGTATACAAGCTTAAGTATATTACAAGCACGTGGCGCGCGGAATAACTTCAGTTAACTGCCCGGCTTCGTTGTAACAAATGCGACATTGTAATTCGGTGAGAAAAGTTTTTTATTAGAGTGACTTTTCGTGTTAATCATTCAAAGCTGGTAAGTGTTTCAGTTACTTTATTGCATGCTTCTTAAGGATGTGCTATTACAGTACGAAGTTTAGTGGTCAAAGGCTAAAGAATCTGCATTGTTTTTCTGTTAGGTTAGGTTTTATTTTTTATGTTCCGTTTCTTACAGTGGCCATCTTAACGGAAGGTACAGTGGCCACTACTCTAATATATTATAAAGGGGTGGCCACTGTTCCTTATATTATATTTGAATTTTGAATAAAAGAAATATATTTAAAACTATATTTTATGTTTTTAATACAGCCCGAGTTCTATTATTATTATAAACTAGGATTATTCTATTTTAGTAAATATGCCACGACAACCCAAAAAGAAAGTGGGGATTGGAAAGACTGAGGGGGAAACAATGAGGGCAGCCTTAAATGACATTAAAAATAATGGACTGTCAGTGAAAGCTGCAGCATTACGTTACAAAATACCGAGAACCACATTAAGAAGGTATGTCAACAAGTTCGAAAATGTCGAACCAGAAAATATTCAAGCTGGTTTAACACCTAACTATACTGTTAACAGAATATTCACATTAGAAGAAGAATTCCAGCTATGTAAATATTTACAGGTCTGTGCTAAATTACACCACGGACTAACTCCAAGAAATGTTAAAAAATTAGCTTTTGAGTTAGCTACTGCTAATCGTAAACGGGTTCCAAGGTCCTGGACGGAAAACAAAATGGCCGGAAAGCATTGGCTGACACAGTTTTTAAGAAGAAACCCACTATCAATTCGATCGGCTGAGGCTACATCATTAGGACGTGCAATGGGGTTCAACAAAGCGGTTGTACAGAAATTTTTCAACAATTTAAAAGAAGTTCTCGAAAAATTTAAATTTCGGTCAGATAAAATTTATAACGTCGACGAGACTGCCCTAACGACTGTTCAGGAAACTGGAAAAGTTATAGCTACGAAAGAACAAAAACAAGTAGGACAAATAACTTCAGCCGAGCGAGGAACGCTAATTACGATGTGCGGAGCAATCAATGCGAATGGAAATAATATTCCACCTCTTCTCATTTTTCCTAGGAAATACCTTAAGGATCATATGCTTAAAGGAGCGCCTAACGGGACTATTGGAGCAGCAACGCCTTCGGGCTGGATGACGACTGAAATATTCGTCCAGTGGCTGAAGCATTTCATATTATATAGCCATCCAACCCAAGAATTTCCAGTGCTATTATTAATGGATAATCACATTAGCCATATTTCAATAGAAGCTATAAAACTAGCCCGAGAAAACAATGTATGTTTATTAACATTGCCGCCACATACCAGCCACAAGCTACAGCCATTGGACCGAACTGTTTATGGACCGCTAAAGTCTTATTACAATAGTGCATGTCAGTCGTGGTTGACGAATAATCCAGGCAAACGAATAACAATCTATGACATATCCGAAATATTAGGTCAAGTGTACAACCTTGCATTTTCAACAAGCAACTGCGTGTCTGGTTTTAAAGCAACAGGGATCTTCCCATTCAACGAAAACATCTTTATCGATGATGATTTCTTAGCATCCACTGTAACCGATATGCCCCCGCCTGTGCCTGTCAGAACTGAAACAATTGATGACGCGATAGCAGGAACTAGCAATGAATCTGCTACCGATGTGGAAATAGCTCATACCTTTTGCTCAGAAGATAGAACACCTCCCAACACAATTATTAGTCCTGAAATGTTACGACCCCTACCAAAATCACAGATTACAGAAAAGAAACACATTCGGAAAAAGAAAACTACCCAAATTTTGACGAGTACGCCAGTTTATAATGAACTTGAAGCGACCAGTAAAAATAAATCAAGGAAGAAAAGTTTGAAAAAAGCGCCACAAGCAAAAAGAAAAGTTAATTTGGCAGATACGGAGAGCAGCATATGCGACAATATTAAGATAAAAGACAGCATCGATATTTCGAGTGATTCGACTACCGATGACCAGAATTTAGATCTCACTGATTCCGATGAAATTGATTGGATAGACGAAGCCCAGCCTAGCACTACCGAAGATTTAGGAAACATTGATGTAGGAAGTTTCATAGTGGTAAAATTTGCCACTAAAAAACAAGTTAAATTTTGCGTTGGCAGAGTAACTGCTATAGATATAAAATACGGCGAATATTGTGTCAGTTTCTTACGCAAGCGCAAGGCATATACATTTTATTATCCAGATGTCCCAGATCAGACAAATATACCCCATGAAGATGTTGTAATGCATTTACCACCCCCATGTTAAGTGGCGGCACCGCAAGAGTTCAGAGCCTATTTCACTTTGCGGTTGACCTTTCCTCATTTAATTTATATTAGTTTAATAAGCCTTTTTGCATTTAAATGATACATGTTTCTTTTGTTTTTTAATATGTATAGTTATAAGTTTCCTAATTAAAGGATTTTGTATCAAGTTTTATTACTTATTACCAGGTTAAAAACATCCTTTAATATGCTTTTCAGAGAAACCACTGTTCCGACCCTAAATGGCCACTGTACCATCGTGTGGTTCGGTACAGTGGCCACACTGTATTTTTAAAAAAAAATTGAGGAAAAGATCTTATACTTTTTTAAATTAAATAGAGTCATATTTGTATAGCCTTATCGTATATATAGTCAGAAAAAATAGAAAAAGGATAAATTTCTTAAACGTTTTCGAAATAATTGGTAATAAAACAATGGGTGGCCACTGTTGGTGGCTCTCCCCTACTAGCAATCAGGCAACCTGCTTTCTTTGTGTCCGTACCCTAGGGTATGGCCACTACAGAATAACGCACATTGAACCGCACACTCAACCATAGCCTCTAGCCTGGTATAGTACTCCTCCTGGTACCATAGTACTCCTCCTACATCACACATTACCTTCAATGTAGTCTAAATTCTTAACGTTATTCTTAACAGTCGATTCAGTTGTCATCATCTTCTTCGGATGAAAAAGATATTATTTGATACAGCAAAACAAATTATATTTGCCAATGATAAAATCATAGGATGCCAACTTAAGATAAGTTGAAATTTGTCTGGTTCTTCATTAATATCTTTAATAAAATATAAAATAAGTAGATGCAGTTTTCTTAAATTAGTTAAAATTGTTTAAATTTTAACTAATTTATGAAAACTAATTTAAGAAAATAACCAAACCAAACCAAACCTTTAAAAAACCTTCTTTACGGCTTGACTGTATCAATAGGGGAGCCAATAAATTGGACAGTTCAAAATTTGGATGGGATTTCCTAGATATGCTTCCTACGCCGATACACTACCCAGTATAGCTCCCGTTTTCTTCTACCATCCATCATTTTTGCGGGTGTCCCCCTCTTTATTTTTATCAATTTTCGATAATAGTAACAATTTTATAGATATTATTTTAATTTGAAGAAGTGAAAATAATTATTTTAAGTGTAAACAATAATCAAATAAAATATCTCTAGCTTTCTTTGATGCTAGTTTGTCATTTATACCCTGAGGTATAACTCTGTCATCCCAAAAACCTTCAATAATCCGTCAACATGTTTGCATTCCACTTTCCTGAAAATCTCTTCTCGGATGACAGAAGTCCAGGGGTGTGTGAAGAAAATGCACTTGAGACACGTTACATTCCATGTTTCATGGTCATGTAAACTAAGCATTTCCTCGACCTAAGAGACATAATCGTTATTTTTGTTGTTACCCCCAAAGTTCTGGCACATGTTTTGTAATACAAACCAAATTCGTTTATATGGATTAACATGATCAATAAACCCCGAATCTTGGAAAAGTTATCTAATCTGGAAGAACCCTTTTAACTGGAAGAACCCTTTGAACTTTCTGGAAGAACCCCCTTTTATCTGGAAGAACCCTTCTCTAACAAGAACCCTTTTTTTGATTTTAGGCACACTAAGGCGAAGAAACTTAGTATCCAAAAATTGAAATGCGTTACCGTGGCGAATCAACCCTAGTTTGATGTACAAATTAAATCTACTACCTTTGTTACCATTTTATCAAGAAATTATGTGTTTTACCTACTTTGGTCTACAATTAAAAAAAAATTCAAAAATCTTTTTCAAAAAATTGTAAATTTTCAAATTTTTTTTGTGAAAAAAAAACTCATAGACGTGTTTCCGGAGTTGAAATTACTATTACCCTTAAAAATATTTGCACTTATTTAAGACTCACCCTGTATAATTTTATATAGCAACATGTTGCTATATGTGTTGCATTATTACTTACTTTTACTTTATTACTTATTAGGGTTGGAAGCTGAAACATGTAAAAATAAGTAAAAAATTCACAGATTTTGCAACATGCGCAACCATCACAGGCGTATTGAAAATACCAGACGCAAGTCGGTGGTTGTCGACAATCACCCGTTTTTTTTACATTTTATATTAACTTGTGGCGTCATTTGGAAGAGCTCAATAGAAATATAAAAGAACTAAACCTTGTTTGCTGGAAAGCAATTTGACATTCGTGACGTCAGCACCCCGGAGTCTAACGTAAACGTATCATTGATCGCTATTCACAAATATATTCCAGATACGTATAGTGAACAAGTTTAACGTTCGCAACATTAAATAATTTTGATGTTTGATTTTTATCGTGATGGCTTTTTGTAAAAGTGAAGAATTTAGTGAGGAAAATATTAATGATGGAGATGAACGTGTGCGGATTCGTGAATGGTCACGATCACGGTCACGATATTATGACGGGCTCCTACTCACGTAGGAGCCCAAACTATGTAAAAAGGGGGTCAGTTTAGCTTAAGTTTAGATTAGGTCTAAATTTTTATTAATGCAAAACCAACTAAAACCTAATTCTAATCTAACCTAAACTCACTTCTTCTTTTGTATATTTCGGGCTATTTCCTGTGTATTCCTATGTTTAACCAATATTCGAACTTAGGTGTAAATTTAAATTTATGGATGGCCCGTAAATTTAAATTCGCCATACAAAAAAAACTACTTTTCACCAATTTTCACAATAAAAATTAAAAGTTATAAATCATAATTTTTTTTATAGAAATGAGGGAATAAGGGTGAACGGGGTGCCGGTAGACCAAGAAGATACTTGGAATGTAAATGTTAATTTTTCCTCGAATGGAGTTGCCTCACAGTATAGGCATATTTTGAACCCCTACCGTGCATAGTTACTGTAGTCTTTGCTCTATTCGATGATCAACGCCGGCTAAACTATCGACTTACGTGTTGACAAGTTGATTAGGCAGGTTATTGAACTCGTGTGGCATCGAGCATGTCGTTTTTTCAAAGATGGGCCCCATATAAATGCGGCCAGAAGTATTTTCAATACTAAAAAATAAATTAAAATAAAAAACGGAAAAATCGATCAAGTTTATTGATTTTATTACAATTTAGCAGGACCGCCCCCCATAATAAAAAGTCTACCATCTTACTACAAAAGTTCTTCCCCTAGGAGATTGAAGACCTTGTCGTTGGTGGGGAAGCTCCTTGTCAGGTGCTGGAGGAATCTCCTCTAGCACTTTAGCTTGGTCTAAGAAGCATCTCATTGTCTTATCCCTGGCTGTAGTGTCGTGCCCAGGGAATTGCATCAAGACATATAACAATGCCGGACGGGGTTACCCCTGTCCGTCATATCAGGCACCCTCTACTGACTGTGGTCATGTCTCGCGGTTAAAGGGTGTGGGATGTATTGGCTTAACCGCCTGGACCAAGAGTGACAACCTCACCAAAAACCTAAATTTTACGATGGCAGGACCAGGTCAAAGGGATGCGTGGCCTCAACCTCAGGGTATCAGGGGGCACCCCATTGTATTTACCCCTTACTTCTGCATGCGGGGCTCTGTAGAAGTGGACCGACTATCCCCAGCGACTCGTGACAACACTATGAGATCTAGTATTAAAAACACCACCGGTGAAGCCCCCTAGCGACACTGGGAACATGACAAATGAAAGTTCCAAGGGACCAAATCCAAAGGAAACTACAGGAGGGGCGGCTGACACTTGCTTGGGATCATCCTTCACAAGTGGCACACAAGCTACCACCTTCTCCAGCAAGGGCCGGGAGCCTACCTCTAGACCCAATAGGCGACATAAGCTACCGTTTCGTCTACCCGGCCTGGGTCAACCAGGCGGGCTAGACGATCCTCTGAGAGTAGGTCTTAGCGGAGCAGAAGCACGGAGATACCTCCGACTGCTCTACGAAGGACTTGCTCCAGAGGAAGTAAAAGCGAAAACACTCCTCCGAATCGGCGAATTAGTTGGTGGAAATCTCACATAACCTTAAAAATTGGCAAGGGCCGGAATTGGTTGCAGTGAAGGGTGAAAACATCCCTAAAGGGGCGGGCGTAACGGGTTTTCTGCCAAGGAGCAAGGGGAAAGACACCACCTACCTGCTGAGCCTTATCCAAGGTCAGAACTTCAATGTAAGGACATCCAGTCATCAACTCGAGGGAGGAGGGTCATGGTAAGGTCCTCACAATAGGAATTGACCTCAAATCCAAGGAGGCAATAGAGAAAGAGGGACATATCCTCTATTATAAATACGGGACAACACCAGTATCAGGTCTAAGGAAAAACCAAGTTAAAGAGGTGGAGAAAATGGAGACAGATCCACCAGCCTCCACCTTACGGGTTCCTCAGCCGGAGGCAAGCTCCTCGACTGTGAAGAGCGGCACGGAGGGCCAAACTCCAACCGTGGAAGGGTGTGTACCCTCGGAGGAAGAACTGTTGTCAGAGGAGGATGGGAAATACCCTGTCCCCTCTACAACAGGGGTATGATGGATTATAGATTGTGTGATGACTCAAGGAAGGGAGGCACAATAGATCTTTAAGGTCGCAGTGATTAACCCCCCCCCCTCTTACTCATTCTACATTCTACTACAAGGGTTGATTTTTTTAAAGAACACTTAATATCTGTAGTACCCAGAAATAACAAAGTAGAGCCCAGAATAATCCTTCCCATCCCACTAAACTATCGAAAAGCAGTAAAAATAAGTAGGGGGTCTCCCTCTCACGGGTTTTTTAACAGAACTCTGTCTCCTCAACGAACACCTCGGTAAATTGAAACTAAGAAACAACAGCGAATGCAGACTCTGTGGGAAAATGGGAAACCCCCACAACACCCCATCACTGAATGCGCCGAGTCGACAACCATTCGTGCCATGAGGTTTGGTACGATAGATATCGAAAATGGAGAACTAACCTCTGTAAAACCGTCTCTTATACTGCCTTTTGTCAAAAATTATGAGTTATAACTCAAAGCTTTATTTACAACTCATTATAACTTACGGAA